TATAGAAAAGTTTCGGACAGGAGGTATTTTATATCTGATCATAAAACCTATTTTCCTCAGTGAAATATATCGAAATTGCATGTGTTGATCGCGTTCGAATTTGACTCCGAGAAAAATAAAAATTATTGGAATACTCCCTCATTATTACAATATCTCACGTTATCTCAGTCGTCACCAATGTTTTTGCCTTAACTGTAGATGGTCACGCTAACATAAAAAAGTTGAAGAATTATTATTTTATTACCTAATCATCGATAAGTGAATCAATATAAAGTGTATGAACTATCAAAATATATGATGTCAATGTTGTTATACAATTATAATTATTTACAAGGGATGTAAGATCACAATTTTAGTGAAACTTTTTTTGATAATACTCCATCTAAAAATAGGAGACACATGTAGTTCATGATCCTATGGTCAAATTGTGATAAAAATTCCATGTTGTTCGAAGTCTCAATCTCAATTGTATTCGAAATGTTTATGTGAGGTATTGGTTGAGATAAAAAAGTCAGTGTCACGAGCGGGATTCGAACCCACGACCTTCGGCTAAATACGCCCCTGCTCTACCACTTGAGCTATCGTGATTTAGATCCACTTAGACACCAACCTCCCATCTCAACCACACCTTTTGAATGTTCAATTTGAAAAATGGCAAAAAGGAGGGAAAATTCTACGATCTAATAGTACCTTATAATCAGGTGCTGTACCTTTTGAATATTTTTTATATTACCATCCATCTATTCCATTTACGTATGAAAAGGAAGAAAATGGATCAATAACATGCTTGGATGTAACATTAAAAAAAGTTCAAGTGATACCATTGTTATCGTTTGGCATGTTAAAGCAGTAGACAGTGGTAGGTTTTTCGACTTCAGACATACATATATACATAGACCGAAACAATTAAAAAAAAAACCTCTACAACCTAAAATTATTAGCATTCCACAGACTCACTGATGAAACGCCAAAACGCGTCTGACCGATCAACCCAATGAGGATAGGCAGACAAATGAAAAATCATTGGTAACTACTGCATTTCAAAAGTACTTTTATTACGTTAAAAGTACCTTAAAAACAATTTAAAAATTATACATTTTAACGGAATAAATTTATATTGATTTATACACATAAGTCATTATTAAAGCAATAATCTAAAGCATGTTAAAAATGTATTATTCATAGAAAAAAGTGATATTTGCCTCAGATTATCGCGATGTATAATAAAAATCAAACAAATACCCTTTAATTCTGTTCTTGCATTTCTGTATTGAAGCTTTTGCAATTAACTCAACTTTAGATTTTAGTTTTATATAATTGTCCCTCTTGTTAATAAGGAAAGACGTTCTATTTCAATAAAAGGTACGCCGTCCAGAAATAAATTAGTATGCAGCGTTATTTTCCAGGAAGGGCGACTCTTTCGCGGCCGGCGGGGGTGACTTCCGCCGAGTCGACAAAGGCCCTTCCGTATAGAAGGGGAAACCGAGCGAAGACTCATGAAGCATGAACCCTTGTGAAAAGGACGGTAGGACGGTAGGGCGATCGTCATAGAAAGCCATAAAAAAACAAGGCCCTTTGTATGCGGAGGCTGGAGGACAAATTGTTGTTCGGGTCGCCCTTAAGAGAGTGACCATTATCTCTTGTGAATAGCTGGTTCGTCCTATGCTACATGCCATAAGAAGGCAAATAAAAAGCGGTTTAACTTTATAGAAATATAAAATATCGTGGAGTCGAAATTAGTTTGTTTTAGGTTGTTTACGAGTCTGCCTATTATAACGGGTTTGGCCTGTCTAAATCATTGTCATATATTTATTTATTTATTTTATTATATCTTTATGGTGAAACTTGTATATCTGAAAAAAGAAAAGATGAATGTTATGCAGATTCAAAAACTCCTGAATACAAATTTTGGGCAAAAATGTACTCAAAATTTTCACCTTACATTTTCGAAAACAGAAAATTTGTTATAATTTTGAAAATTCAAAGAAAACATAATAGAATTTTAGATCCTTATAAGAGACACGAAATGGCAGAAACCGCCTCTCCGTCAATAAATCGTCAATAAATTGTAATTGGATATAAAAAATTAACCATTTGAGAAGGTTTTGTTGAGTTCATTTCAGAATAAATTGTTAATTAAATTTTGAAATATCACTAAATAATTTTCCGGTGTAATGGCGAATTTCTTTCAAAACAACATAATTAAATATTATTTGGGGATCAAGAGATGCGGTCTGATCTGACGTAGTATCCCCTCCAAAGAAAAGCTCATGAAATGCTAAATGGTGATGCGAGAGGGTGTAGCTACCACAGGGAAGAAAACCACCCTATGGGAAGGTTAGTAAATAGCCGGTGCTACAAAAAAGAGTAATCACTGGGCAGTACGTGGTTGAAAAGATGACTTGAGTAGTCAGTAAGAAGGTTGAGTTTAGTTGGTAACGAGTCAGTTCCAGTTTAGAACTTATAGTTAGTTACTGGTAGTGCCCAATACTGAATTAGAAGTCGGATTTTGATGAGACAGTTGTAGGTTGTAAACTTGTAGACGAGTTGGATAGACTTTTGTTAAGGTTTTATGGCGTGAACGAGTGTTGAAGGGGGAGTGTCTGGCTTCGTCTTAGTTACCACCTTTAAGCATATAATAATTGTTCCGAAAATTATGGTGTTATCGCCCCAATGACTGATTTGGAAAAAAAGCCAATCCTGAGGAATGATCGACACTCCGAGATATCATGCCACCCTCAAATCTACGACATATGTGTGTGGTGTTTAGTGATCGTTAGTTAATGATTATTCTATTCTTATAATTAATTAAGGTTTTCAGTTGAAACAAAAGGAGGTAAAAGGTTGAGATCGAGGTCACGATAGCTCAAGTGGTAGAGCAGCGGCGTATCGAGCCGAAGATCGTGGGTTCGAATCCCGCTCGTGCCATTGACTTTTTATCTCAACTGAAAACTGTAATTAATTGTAAGTTAATGATTATTTGGAGATGGCGAGATGCAGTCTGGTATGACGTAGGTTTTAGAAAAACATTTTCTTTATCACGCCAACATTCTGATTTTCATCGAGATCATCTTCAGGGCTCAAAGTGTTTGTTTTCTGTGTCATTCTTGTGTCGTGTTGAGAGTGCTCAACAAACAATTTGAGCCCTGAAGATGATCTCAATAAAGAAAGAAACGTTGGCACGATAAAGAAAATGTTTTTCTAAAACCTACGTCACACCAGACCGCATCTCACGATCTCCAAATAATAATCTACGACATATATTTAATTTCACTTAATACAATCCAGCATACTATTTTCTAGTCCTAGGTGAAAGTATGAATCGAGTGATATATAATAACGTTGAAATACATCGACAAACGAATAAAAATATATTACATCTAAAAAGGTGGTTATTACTATTTTTAACTAAATACACCACCCACTTGAAATTCCATTTGGTTTAATAGTCAGCTCTAAAGACCAGGAACGTGGCTCGAATGCATTTGCAATTAAAAAATATATAGCTGAAAAATAAATGGTGTGCTTAATTAAAAAAAAGAAACTTTTTAGATTTAAAATAATTTTTTCACCAATTAAGTAAAGAGTGTTATAAAAAAAATTAAATAAAAATTCAAATTGGCCTGAGGTACCCTGTATAATTTTTCTACAAAAAAAAGTAAAATTTGAAACTGGCTCAAGACAAATTCAACCAAGCCATGTAAAAAGGACACTTATTACGAGTGTTCTAAACAATAGAGGTCATATCAATCCTCGGGCGCCGATGTTTTTGAAAAAAGCCCATTTGTAAGTATGTCGGGTCCGAATGTAGGACCCCTGGATTCGAACCCTGGACCATTACCGTGACGAGCGCCATGTCAATGCCTAAACTGTTGCTGAAACAGACGCGCCAAAATATTCATTAAAAATTACTTAAATTAGCTGAAATAGATTTTTCTCGGTTCTTAGGCCTATAGGAAAGAACTTCGGACCTGTGTGTAGTATGCATTTTACGGTGTAGTACCACCAAAATATTAAAATTTGTTATCCCACGTTCGTCGCCTTCCCTAGTAATAAGTTGATTTAAACAAATATTAATTATTTTTCATTCATTCCTATTAACAAATATTCAAATCAATCTTTCCAAGAATAAAAGCCGTTCACGAATTGTTTTCTTTAACAATGGCCAACGTATTTTTATATTTTGACTAATTTGTTTTATAATTTATACAAATAAGTCATCGTGAACGTAATTAAATATAATGAAGATATCCATCAAGCTAGGATTTTTGTCGCTTTCTGGAATTTTCTGGATAAACAACCTTTTTCAGAACGTAGCTTGTTATATTACAATAACAAAAATGATGAATTAACACTAGATAAGATTCAGTATAATATTTTAAATATTACAGACGAAAAGTAGCTCTCGTACAAAAATTTCAGCAATGTACAGTAAAAAGGTTTTGCAACATGGCTGTGTAATTGTTTGATGCCAAATAAAAAAAAGGTTTTACTTTTTGTCTTATCTTGTATAATTCTTCTTAGGGAGTTACATTCTGAAGCAATAGGAATCAATGTACAATATAGTTAATCGAATTGACGAACAGCGTTGTTGGCAGTAGTAAAAGGATAAACAAAATAGTTGTCAGTTATAAAAATAATGCTTACTTCTTACTTAGAAGGCTGTATTTGATATAAAAATCCGATTGGGATGAGGATATTGATCTCACACACAAAATACTGTAGCATATTTAGAGGCGAGGGGGTAGACCAGGGGTGCTCAAACGGTCGATCGCGATCGAAAACGAAAAGTAAGTGATTTGATATCTTGTTTGAAAAAAGAACAATTCATGTTCACAAGACCAGCCAAACAATCAAAAGCTGCTACGATCGCGTCATTTAAAATATCTCATATATTGGCGAAACACAAGAAACCATTCGAAGATGGATCGGTGGTGAAGGAAGCATTTATTGAAGCGGGTGAGACTTTATTTGGAGATTTTTAAAATAAAACAGAAATCATGTCTGCTATTAGAGAACTTCAGTTATCTCGTCCGACTGTCACAAGGCGTATTGAAGTCATGAGTCAGGACATCGCAGATAAACTAAAACATGATATCATGGAATGTACATACTTTTCTTTACAGTTCGACGAATCCACCGATATGACAGACACTGCCCAGCTGTGTATTTTTATTCGGATGGTATTCAATGACATGTTGGCTAAGGAAGAATTTTTGACAATCATTCCTCTGAAGGGGAAGACCCGTGGCGAAGGTATATATGACGTTTTCTTCAATTTTGTAAAAAACTACGAGCTACCAATATATAAATTAGTGTGCATTACAACCGATGGAGCACCAGCAATGACTGGAAACAAAAACGGTTTTGTGGCATTGTGTCGAGCTAATGAAGAATTCCCTTCATTTTTTTCATTCCATTGCATTATACATCAACAAGTTTTGTGTTCAAAAGTTTTAAACACGGAGGAAATTATGGGTATTGCAACAAAAATTGTGAATTCCATCCGTGCACGTAGCTTGCAACGGCGGCTCTTTCAGTTGCAGTTGGAAGATAGGGAGTCAGCTGAACACACTGATTTAGTTCTTCACACGGACGTCAGGTGGTTGAGTCGCGGAAAATTCCTAGAAAGGTTTCAAGAATTATTGCCCGAAATAACAGCTTTTCTAGACGAAAGAGGTGATGACACTCAGATTTTGAAAAACGAAAAATGGCTGACTGATTTGGCATTTTTGACTGACATCACAATGCACTTAAACAGCGTTAACTTGGAGCTTCAAGGTAAAGGAAAAACTATTATTGAGATGATTAGCGCAGTAAACGCATTCAAAAGTAAATTGCAACTTATGATAGATCAACTGAAAAGAAAGGATCTGAAACATTTTCCGTCTTTGAAAGCAAGGATTCCTCAGTTGAATTATGATACGTATGAGGCTGAATTATCAAATATTTTGGGACAATTCGAAATGCGTTTTTATGATTGCAGTAAATTGGAAAATATAGCATCATTTATGAGTTATCCTTTTTCATGTAAAAACATTGAGGAATTAGCTACTGAAATAGCAAGTCAGTTTAATATGAACTCATGTTCTGTTGAAAATGAGTTGGTGCAGATTATATCAGATATACATCTCAAAGCTACAGCATCTGATACAAATTTCTGGTGTTTTATATCTGAAGATAAATATCCGAATGTAAGGCAAATCGCCCTTCAACTGACGGCATTTTTTGGGTCAATTTACTTGTGCGAGTCTGCATTTTCTGAAATGAAGATAATTAAGTCAAAATATCGCAATCGACTAACTGACGATCATATGTCATCATGCTTGCGATTAGCACTCAGTGGTTACGTACCATCTTATGAAAAGTATGCTGAGGACATGCAGTGCCACGCTTCAACATCCAAAGCCACTCCTTAGTTAAGTTTAACACCATATGTAACTCTTTTGTTTTGTAACAACCAATAAACTCGCAATTTTGAATAACTATGAGTTTTTTCATTGATATTGTAGAGAAGAACCTAACTAAACCTAACCCAAACCTTGACTAAAATAATGTACCTATATTGTGCAGAAAGCTAATATCTATATATGCTACGGTACACCCTACCTAGGTAGGTAGGGTGTATCGTGTATGTACGACAACCCTGCATCACACACACTTGCAGACTCTCAGAGTCGATCGTAAGTAGTCTAAAAATATTGAGGTAGATCGCCAGCAGTTCAAGTTTGAGCACCCCTGGGGTAGACACTTGATGCTTGCGTCGCGTCATTTCCTTTTTGAACTTTTCCTGGAGAATTTTTACTGCTAAGTTCGATGCTCCATGTGGTAATTTGAATGTTCATATTCAAAAAATAACAATCGTTTTGATAATCTGTTTTATAAAATCAGTTATGAGACTTTTGTATGTCTCGTTGGATCTTTTAATCCTTGATCATCGCTGATCTTCTTCTATCTTGGATCTTTTGTAATGTTAGCTTAATATCACTGGATTTGTAGAATTTATATTTTTTACTGTTTCATCTAGCTGTGCAAATTAATTATATGACCGTGAAGATTTTTTTTATACGTAGTGTTAATTTAATCTTTCTGCAAGTCATGGTTGGATTTGGTTTGTCTGGTTAAGCTTAAATACAATATGTAACCAATATGTTTTTATGAGGAATTGTATAAAGCGAGACTTGGCGGACCTGAAATCAATATTTCTTGAATAACTTATAAAGGTTTAGCGACAGTTAATTTTATTTTGATTTTATGCAGTAGAAATTATTCAATTTTAATATAAAATAGTATAAGAACGACGAGAAGAAGAAGTTTAGAGGGTTTCTACAAACGAGATCATTGTTATGTTAAATATATGTATGTTATGTAGACGTAAAAAGGTTGCTCTTCTCATCCAGGATTTTAATAATATCCTCATAAACTTCCACTTCTAGAATGTTGTTAAAGGGTAAAAGAAGAGTTATGGCCCTACCCCATTTGCGCCCCTTCGACAAAATAATGTTAACGACGAACGAATTAACTCCAAACGGTAATATATTAATTGTAAGTTTGCGAGCCTCGAAGACGGCAAACAAACAGTTCGAAGATTATTTTTAAACACGAAGTTAAGTCATTTCAAAACCGCGATCGTGAGGGGTTGCGGCCGTAATGAAAACAAACACACTAAAACGAAACGCGGGGGCGGAAAGTTTTTACGGTTTCCTGACGCGATTACAAGAAGATCCTCCGGTATGAATCACTTGGGAGTATCCGGTTTTGTGGTAATACCGGGAGGAAGTTTATGTTTTTCCCCTCCCTTTTATGGTTTATAGTTGTTTTGGAACTGTGTCAAACGCAATCCTGCCCTTTTACCAACCGTGAACCGTTATGTGTTATGCGCGTCCTGTCAATCCTACAATTAGCGAATTATTAATTGTATAATTAAGTTTAATGAGAAACTTTATTTAGTACTTGTTTAACCTCAAAAAATATTTTCTGCTCGGTCACAAATATTTGCGTGCAAAGGTGTCAGTATTTCCGAAAAAAGTACTTTTTTTCAATTGTATCACATAATATTAGTTTATACCTTTTTTACGTAAGGTTTTGGTTGAAATGAAAAAGTTAATGCGACGAGCGGGATTCGAACCCACGACCTTCGGCTAAATACGCCGCTCCTCTACCACTTGAGCTATCGTGACTTCGATCCACTCGGACACCAACTTCCCGGAGTAGCGTCTATTTAGCCGAAGGTCGTGGGTTCGAATCCGGCTAGTGGCACTACCTTTTTCATTTCAACCAAAACCTTACATAAAAAAAGATTAATTAATTGAAAGAATTAATTTGGTCAACAGTCCACTAAATATAATAGATTAGTTAGTATGGTGGTCTTTGATAATCGGCTTTTATCGGCATTGTATGAGACGACTGAATTTTGAAACTATAACATTCCATTTTTTTATCTATGATATAAAAATAATTAGAAATATTATATTACATGAGGTTAAATGTATAAAAAGTTACAAAATGCAAAACAAGTTATTAGTAATAACAATCACAGTCTCTCATTATAAGAACATACATTATTTACAACAAATTAATCATACACACACTCAGTATCAATCGACCGTCTCAGGGGTCGTCTTAGTCTATTAGTCTTAGTCTGAAGGCAAAATAATAAAATTGATATAAACTGAAATACAGTCAAACACTTGCATTATCTGTTGATAATCTTAACATGAGACAACACTTTAACGGATCATCATCACCATTGTTTTCAGCGTAAAAAATCCTCTAAAATATGTAGGATCGTATTTGAAATTTTGAACTCGAACTGGGCCTGAGGTACCCTGTATAATTTTTCTCCAAAAAAAGGTTTAAATTTGAAACTAGACTAAAAAATATTAAACACGTGTTTTTTGTTTTTGGTAGCGTCCTTGGTTCAAGAGAAATCAACAGGGCCATCTAAAAAGGACACCCTAGGGGTATTCGCGATGTTTGTAAGATGTTAACTCGTGTTAACTCGAATAGAGAAATGTCCAGTAAGATTGTGAACGCCCCCTTCTTTTCATAGCATGTTAAACGTTAACTTTTCCGCAATGCTGCGCGTGGTGATTGGTAGAACCAAAAATAAAGCTATATCAGCCCTTTAAGGCTTGAGGGGTATTTACGATCTTTGTATTAACCCTGTTAACTCTGTTAGGTCCTGTTAGATCGAGAAAAATGATAACGTAGTCTTGTAAGATTCGGCTAATTAACATTGTTTGATCTAACAGGCCAGGGCCAATGTTAAGTCGAAAATTTAGCCACAGTGCTATCCGTTAGGCCGTAGATAACCGACATGGCAGCCATGAATTTAACAGCTCTTTTTTGTTTACATGTATTTTTATTCTTAAATACGCAGTAATTAAATCAGACCAATACATTTCTTTTGTTAATTTCTAATAATAGGACTACATTTTCGACCTAACATTTAACATTGGCCCTGGCCTGTTAGATCGAGCAATGTTAATTAGCAGATTTTAACAAGCTACGTCATAATTTTTCTCGATCTATCGATCTAACAGGACCTAACAGACTTAACAGGGTTAACATAAAGATCGTTAATACCCCTCCTGTATATTAAAGATGCCGAACATAGGAAATTTTATTCAAGATTTCCTTGCCCGCAAATAAAGCTGAATGACAAAAAGAAAGATAGGATAGTGTTTTACAAGAGTTCAAAAGATGGATGTGATTATAAGTTTACTTATATTTAACATTTTTTATTCATTTAATGAAGACTTGAAGTACTACTTTTATCACATTATTCGGTTAATACACCACTTTTCAAGAGTTTAAGTATAATTTTATCGGTAATCCGAGTTGCATCGTATGTTGTATTTGTGATCAGATGTAAAATAGTGAGAAAAATTTTATGCGAGCAATCATAGATTAGCAATTTATATTTCATGACAGCACTCTGCATGAAACCTTGCTGAGGATGAGACAGGTGCGTCTCGTAAGCCTCTCGAATAAATTGATTTAAAAAAATGGTTCTTTAAAAAAGTTTAATTAACCTACTTCGTTATTTTCGAATATTTGACCATTCAGAATATGCAATTTGGGTTAAATTATTAAAGTTGTAAATGGAAAATTGTTTATGTTGTTTTTACAGCTTAACCGACTGTGAGAAGGCCATTACCAGCCAACTGAGCCACGTGGGTGAAATGAATTGTCCCAATCATTAAAGATGGTACAAAACTAAGTTTCTTTTCGGTAAATAGATTATTAAGATGGTTTGGGTGGCGACTGGCTCGGGTTGGTGGGATTTGGTGGGTTGACAGATATTGACAAGCAGAAGCCCTCTTGCTGACTGACACGCTGGCGTTGAGGGGGGGGTCATATATCATTCAAGATGGCTGACAGGCGGAGTGACGTCACGCCTCCCCAGCTGTCAATGGGCTGGTTTTTATACGGAAGGGCTCGGGGGTTGCGAGGGTGGAAGTTCTGGAGAAAACGTTCCACCCCCTCGCCGTCACCGCCGCCCCCGAAAGACGGGCCCTTTGAGAAATATGGATCCCTTTAAAAGTGGGCTCCCTTCGCCGCCGGCGGCCCTTCCCAGTTTACGCCGAGGTAAAAAGAGATTGCCGAACCACCGTAGAGGGTGCATCAAGAGAAATAAATCGGTAGTTAGCCCTCTGTTGCTGTTCCAGGCCCTCAACACTTTGTCACGCCTTGTAAACCCTGTTTATCACTCACATAAATCTTTTGACTTTAAAACTAAAAAGACCACTAAAAAGTTATTGAGAAAATTAGTTAAA